ACCTGTGACTCAACTGGCCCTTCCTGCACCACTGGTACAGAAAACTTCACCACTGTCTCGCACATGGTCTCACATACCTCTGTGTAGGGACCATTGGCCGTGTGCACGTCCTCCACCAAGGTGCCAGCTCCATGTACACCATCTGCGCTTCCCTGTGTGACCGCGACCTCGTCCTCGCCCATATGCGACATCACCACCAACCACACACCATCAAAAAGCCCATGCCAAGGTACTTCAATTTCAATCAAACATTGACAAATCTACATACCGAATCTCACTTGTACATGGCCACAGGACCCCCCTACCATCGCGACTTAAGAAATGGCATCACAGCCTGCTTTACACCGCGCAACACACCAATCTAGATCTTCAGCGAGGATGAACAAAACTAGTTTCTTCTCCATTTCCCGTTGTGACGCAGTGTTGCGCCATCAGTCTACAAAAATCCGATTCAGTGGCCAATGGCGCTACTGGCGGAAGCCGCCTTAAACCAAATAAGTGCAAACTGGGGGTTGCATTGCTGGGCTCGTTCCAGTGAACACAGTTCAGCCTTTGCTTGCAATCGCTTTCCACCACTTCTCGACCTCATTTTCATCTAACTTGGCACGCTGGCGCAGAAGGACCGCAGTGTGCGGCCGCTCGAGCGACCAACCGAAGCAAACAACAGAAATCCCGACCAAAGGATAGGCCGAAAGTTGTTATCTCCGGACAACTGAGAGGAATTTCGGTTTACTCCGAGCTCCTTTTTATTTTATTTTTTTTGGCCCTCGCCTATTATTTCTTCACACACTCCGCTGCGTTTGCACACACACCAGCCGCTCCGTAACGTACCAAAGTATTCAACAAGCCCCCCACGAGAAGCCTCCTCCTACTCTTCCTACTCGAACTCCTTTTCTGTTGTATAAATCTTTCCATTTTCTCTTTTCACTCAAGACTTCATCTTGAATTCCCTCTACACCGGGTACAGTCCTCTCCTTCCCTTGCTCCATGTTCTTTTGTCACTGTCTTGGTGGTACTGCCTTGGCTCACGTTCATCTTCTTTGCTGTTCGATGTAACGGCTAGTTTTTTTTTGCCGTACTACCAGACAACCACACAACAAGCCAACACAACATGAGCAGCAACAATGCCTACACGAAGCCGCACTCGGACTTCTCCTTCCCCTCCATGATCCTCTCCAACTGGAAGGTACTGACCGCGGCGTAGCCACCCAGAAACATATTTATATATTTACATAAAGTGATATAAATATATATATGTTTCATTAATATAATAATAAAATTAATAATAAATGGTGGCGTTGTGCAGGACTTGACGATCACGTGGGCCGGACCCAGGGACAACCCGAACCAGAAGCCCATGCGCTCGCCGGGCGTCACAGGCATGCGGCGCGCCGAGAACAACTGGGCCAAGTCGGCCATCTCCGAAGAGAGCTTCGCCATGCGCGTCAACGGCACCCTCTACGGCGACCCTAGCCTCGTGCGTGCCTCCATCTGCGCGTGTCGTGCGTGTGCGGTGTGTGCGGTGTGTGCGGTGTGTGCTCACCGATGGTTGGAACGATCGCCATTGCACGCGTGCAGTGGGACGGTCGAGTGTTCCTGAAGGAGACGGGTGAGTTCGAGAACCACATCGACACCTACGACGGCAAGCCGCTGCCGTTCACCATGAAGCGGTCCTACTACATGCCTCCCCAGGAGGAGTTCTACATCGTCCACTACAGCGTCTCGCTCCCCCAGTCCTCCAAGGGGCCGTCCACCGCCGAGTACCTTCTTCTTCCCTCTCGCGTGTCGTGTCGTGCGCGTGTCGTGTGCGTGTCGTGCTCACTGTGCGTGTGCGTGTGTGGGTTATAGTGTGCAGCTGCTCGACTATGTGGTGACGGAGAAGAACGCGGACGCGCCGCAGGTGAAGCAGTGGGGCTGGTTCAACACGTACGAGAGCGTCCCGCTGTGGATGGTGGACGAGACCAAGAGCGGCCAGGGCTACTTCACGATGGGCACGTGGGACGCCAACGCCGTGTCGTCGTACCAGGTCGGGCAGGCCACCGATGCCACGTCGCCGCTGTCGCAGTTCATCCACAAGGAGGGCCACCTGGGCAAGGAGCTCGTGGCCGAGGAGCTGCAGGTGTCGCTCGGCCTGGTCGTCAGCGAGACCCTGGCGGCCGGCCAGTCGCTCGACCTCTACTTCTTCCGCACCCTCCACACCACCTACGACAAGG